TGGCGGTTCAAACCCACCAGCCACTCCTTGGAAGGAAGGTTGGGCAATCTACTTCCATAGTGATACTGCCTCAGAAACCCAAGGAGGGGTCACTAAATTCAGGTGTGACTCGATGGCACATAACAACAACAACATCATTAATACCACTCACAAGTAAAATTTTGCTGAAGATAATTCTAAAGTCCTTAATTCAAAAGATAAATTTCTCTTTCTATGTATATACAAGGTTTACTGGTTTTGCTTCTTTAGAGAACCCAGCCTAACACACCCATTGAATCCTTTACTATTACAATTCATGGCTGGAATGTTTTCTTTAATTCCTTCAGCTTGAGAAATGCTGAGCATGTTCTTCCCTTTTAGTTTTCTGACTCTAGGTTTATGCATATTTCATTATAATGTATGTCATCAAATTTGGAAAATATTAGGCCATCATATCTTCAAATATTTTTTCTGTCCCCATCTTTGTCTCCTTTCCTTGTGTTTGGGGACACAAAAATGATGCGTACATAAGGGTAATTAATCCTGTCACACAACTTACCGAGTCTCTGATGTCTGTGTTTGTTTTACCTTTCTCTCTGTATTTTTTTTAATGCTTAAAATATACACACTAAAACATCCAACAGCTAGACAATTTCCACATTTACAATTCTATGATGTAGTTCTCATGCCGTGCAATCATTATCATTATCCTTTCCCAAACCACTCCACTGCCGCTGTGGAATAAACTCAATGTCTTCCAAACAAAAGCTCCCCCTTTCGACTTCCCTCCCACCTCTGACAACAATGAATAATCTTCGGTTTCTATATATTTGCTTATCTCAGATAAGTGAGATCATATGGTGTTTGTCCTTTTGTAACTGACTTATTTTACTTAGGAAAATGTCTTCAAGGTTATCTATGTTGTGGCATACATCCACACTCCATTTCTTCTTTTTGTATTCCTAGTGGATGATTTCTATTGTTCTGTCTTCAGATTCACTTTTTTATCTTCTTCTGTAATTTCCAATCTTCTATTAATCCCTGTGGGTTATTACTATTGGTTTTCGAGGTTACTAGTTCTTTTAAAAGCATGCTTCATAATCCTAATTGAATTTCTAACGTTGTAAATGAAAATTATAGCGGTACTAGATAGTGTGTTCTTTCTTCAAAGAATTTTAAGGATATTTTTAAGCAGGCAGATAGAGTACTGGGAAAAGACTTTGATTGTATTAAGGGTGGTTTAAAACTTTGTTACTTGTAATGTTTTGCCCTTAATTCCAGTCATTTGAGACTTTTACTTTTGGACATGGTTTTTACGGGGTCTGAAGAAAACCCCGGCCGCTTGCCAAGGCCACTCTAACTTGGTGAGACTTGACTTTAACCTCTGTCTCTCCATTGTTGGGCAGGTGCTAAATTTCTCCTCAGTTCTCAGCCTGCCCTCTGTTTCTTGTTGAGTCCTTTAAAGTCTCTCCTTGCCCATGCACTGTTTTAACAGTCAGCCCAGGAATTGAAAGGACTTTGTGTACTGACTTTTCTGTGACTCCCTCTTCTTGAGCACTATGTCCCTCAAGTTTCAGCTATTTTCACAGCCTTGGATTTTGAACTCCAGGTCCTTGGTCCAGTAAGACTACTGCATTATTTTGGACTACATGCCTTTACACTGCAAGCTAATAATATCTTTAGGATGGACATCCAAGACAGACATGGAGTCCACTTTCCTTCAAGGATTATCTTGGTTGGTTTCATG